ATAACCTTGGTTCAGAATCTGTTTTGTTTTTTTTAACACATGTAGGTTCCTTTTAAATTGTAGCTACTTGTTCTCATCTCAAACAGACTTTTAATATTTACTGGTAATACATCGCACTTTGCTTTATACATGACTTTGAGGAGACTTAAGTCAACAATATCGTGCATGAAATTGAAATGAAATTGAACATGTCATTTTCTAGGCCTGGGAAAGTCACGGAATTTTGTAAATGCAATGAAAGTTTTGGAAAAGTGATGGAATTTTAATATCACACAACTACAACGTTCTGTTAAGTTCTCATTAGACTATTACAGTATGATTATTTCCCAACGTTTGTTGAACTTTTGTTTAAAAGAGACGACAATAAATGCACTGATAATATTTTGAATGTTAAAAAAACTATAAAACCAAACCATAAGGTGAGTGGAAAGGGTTAACATTTCAGATTTAGCCCTAAAAGTCTGATGAATTCTACAAATGTAGGTGCTGTAAAGTCATAGAAAATTCACTTTAGCTCATGAAAAAGTAAAGTTTTGAAATTTTGTCAGTGAAAAACAGTAGGATCCCTGTCCTTAGTTCCAGCTAAGTCAGTTCTTTCTGGTCAGATTGTGTTGAAACAAACCTTAAATTAAAGTCTAACTTGAGTAACAGGCCTTTAGGCTGCGTTCAGACTGCAGCCTGAAGTGACCCAAATCAGATTTTTTGGCTTCTATGTGACCTGTATCCAATCTTTTAATGACAGTCTGAACGACACAGATCCGATTTTTTCAAATGTGACCCAGATATGTGCTCCTGAAACCGATACATATCTGATCTTTTGACATGTGACTTCAGTGTGAACGATCAGGTCACATTCATCCGACCTACACGTTATCAACAAGCCACAAACGTCACTATTCTGCGCTGAAGTAGGCGAAAATTGTTAATGAACTCCTTGTCACTGAAGCGAAGCACATCACCACTCACCACTCTTGGCTACGTCTCCACATCCACACGTTCCTTTCAACGAACGTCGCTGTCGCTGTCCCACAAAACACCACGGCCAAAAACCTCGTCCTTCTCCTTCTCAATCTCCTCCTTAAAACAAGTAAGTTGTTCATGTTCTGGCTCCGGTACGAGAGGAACTTTAAAATCTCCAGCTGCTCAATGCTCACGTCCATGTTTGGACAACTTCCGTAAACACAGAGACGCTCACTGCGGTTGACGTCATCGTGTCTCCAGTGCACATGCGGGACACTTTCGGGCCGTTTAACGTTCACACTGGAGTCACATACAAGTCGCATTTAATTGGAAATGTGAACGACCTCGCAAAAACATCGGATTTCACAAAAAAATCGGAATTGAGCGTTAAGCCCTGCAGTCTGAACGTAGCCTTAGACAGAGCAGTGCCTACAGTTAGCAGCACATGCCCAGAGAACAGTGATGATATGAGCTGCAAAGTGTCAATATACCAAAAAACTTGAAACTTATTTACAAGAATATAGTCAGATACTTCAGTTTTTTACATTGTATATACGACAAAATTGTGGATTTGTAAAAAAAAAAAGTACTTTAACTTGACGGTTCATACCAAATACTGCGTACACGATTTGAGTCCTATTTGCTCTTTGTCCTCTTTCCATTTTACTACTTTTTACAAGCAGCAAAACAAAGGAGCAGAGATAAGGAGCACACACATAGACAGAGAAGACAAGAGAGGTCTTGTTTAAGTTAATTAAGAAATTCAGCCATTTTTCTTGTTGACATTGATTGGGCCGGAGCTCTGACTAAGCAGCTCCCCATTAAGTGTAAGGCCACGTGCATTCATCTTCCCCCCTCCCTCCCCCTGCGCAGGCCCCGCTCCTGTCACTGGGGCAGGGGCAGGTGATAGAGGGCACGGCTGAACCCCCCTGCGCGGGTCCCGCTCCCGTCACTGGGGCAGGGGTAAGTGATGGAGGGAGAACTGGTTTGAGACTCTCACTCCGAATGGATTAACTCTATAATGTATGTATCATTAGCATCTGTCGCCGTTAAAGGTCTTTTATTACGCCAAATTGACTCTTGTGAGCGTTAAGACGTGTTATAGCCAACCTCGGCGTCGTTATGGACAATCATTTTAAATTTGACAAAGAAGTAAAATGTAAATAGAGCCGTGCACTCGACCCGACACAATACAGTGCAGCGAAGGACACAATCTGAAAACTCACTGCAGGTGCGGGCGGGTGGGATGAAAAACTGCAGTCCCGCAAAACGAATGTGTACCCTGCTCAGTCCGTGCCCCCTCCCATACGCCCCGCTAAACCAGAACTAAACCAGGTCTAAAACTGGTCTAAAACTGGACTAAAACAGGTCGAAAACAGGTCGAAAACAAGTCTAAAATAGGTCTAAAACAGGACTAACATAGGTCCAAAACAGGTCTAAGACCAAGACTAAAAACAGATCTAAAACAGGACTAAAATAGGTCCAAAACAGGTATAAGACCAGGACTAAAACAGGTCTAAAACAGGTCTAAAACAGGTCCAAAACAGGTCTAAACCAGGACTGAAACAGGTCTAAAACAAGTCTAAACAAGGACAAAAAACAGGTCTAAAACAGGACTAAAATAGGTCCAAAACAGGTATAAGACCAGGACTAAAACAGGACTAAAACAGGTCCAAAACAGGTCTAAACCAGGACTGAAACAGGTCTAAAACAGGACTAAAATAGGTCCAAAACAGGTATAAGACCAGCACAAAAACAGGTCTAAAACAGGTCTAAACAGGTCAAACCAGGACTGAAACAGGTCTAAAACAAGTCTAAACCAGGACAAAAACAGGTCCAAAACAGGTCTAAGATCAGGACTAAAACAGGTCTAAAACAGCACTAAACCAGGACTAAAACAGGTCTAAAACAGCACTAAACCAGGACTAAAACTAATATTTGCTATTTTATTTCAATAAACAAAAATATAAATTTATTCCGACATTTTTCCAAACTCAGTGGTGTTAACTGAACAGGTTTTAGTTCACATTTTGTTTATTAGACGTTCTGAGATGTGTTCAGTGATATGAAGACAGGATTTCAACAGATGATGTCATTAGTGGAGCCAGGAGCCTAAACTGGGGAAGCTGCAGGACAGAGCCGCACCTGAAGAAGGCGGCTTGAGCAGTGAAGACGCTGCACCAAACTTTGAACTTTTCAAAAGGACCAAACCTGAGACCAAACCTGAGACCAAACCTGACTAAACCTGAGACTAAACCTAAAACCAAACCTGAGCCCAGACCTGAGCCCAGACCTGAGCCCAAACCTGAGCCAACCTGAAACCCAAGACTAAACCTGAGACTAAACCTAAAACCAAACCTGAGCCCAGACCCGAGCCCAAACCTGAGACTAACCTGAGCCCAAACCTGAGACCAAACCTGAGACTAAACCTGAGACTAAACCTGAGACCAAACCTGAGACCAAACCTGAGACCAAACCCGAGACTAAACCTGAGCCCAGACCTGAGACCAAACCTGAGACCAAACCCGAGACTAAACCTGAGCCCAGACCTGAGACTAAACCTGAGGCCAAACCCGAGACTAAACCTGAGCCCAGACCTGAGACCAAACCTGAGACCAAACCCAAGACCAAACCTGAGACTAAACCCAAGGCCAAACCTGAGACTAAACCTGAGCCCAAACTCGAGACTAAACCTAAAACCAAACCTGAGACTAAACCTGAGCCCAGACCTGAGACTAAACCTGAGCCCAAACCCGAGACTAAACCTGAGCCCAGACCTGAGACTAAACCTGAGCCCAGACCTGAGACTAAACCCAAGGCCAAACCTGAGACTAAACCTGAGCCCAAACCCGAGACTAAACCTGAGCCCAAACCTAAGACTAAACCCAAGGCCAAACCCGAGACTAAACCTGAGCCCAAACCCGAGACTAAACCTGAGCCCAAACCCGAGACTAAACCTGAGCCCAAACCAAACCTGAGACCAAACCTGAGACCAAACCTAGGCTTTTGTAAGAAACACACCCATTTTAATAATTAAAACAGTGAAAATGTCAAATGTGGTGTATAAACGAGTTTCCTTCCTCTGAACAAGCAACAAAACTGTAGCGTTGTAACAAAATTATTTAGTAAAAAAGTACTCTTGATACAGCCCACGATCTCAATACTGTATCACCACATTAAACGATACGATATACTGATATTTCAATATTTTAAACCAAACCAGGGCAGGTGTGAATCCCTCTAATGAACCGTACATGAAGTGGACTTAACGAGTTGACACATTTTCAAACAATTTCTAAAACTGTCGCTGTAACTCTGTCGAGCAGTGTGCCAATTCTGCTTTAGAAATACGAGTTATTGCTAATACATGTCGTGGCAGTCATGAGCACGTCTCTGGTCTCCCTCTGTGCACAGGGGGGCGTACGCTCTGGAGCTGTGGCAAAGTTCCTGCAGCTGTCATGGAGCAAGCGGCACTTCTCCATGGGCAGGAAGAGGAGAGGGGGTTGTTTTAGAGTGTTTAATTATAGATCTGAACAGGACATAATTTGGACTTTAATTTGGTGCTTTTATGGAGAGTGTTTTATATTTTTGGCTCGGAGTTGCAGCATTAATTGTCCAGTCTGAGTGTGGATTGGCTGGGAGGAGGACACCTGGTTTTACCTATGAGCGCCACTATCACACTGGCCTTAAACAAAAGTTGCTGTGTTGTGTTTGGGTGTGATTTGAGTCGATGTAAAGGAGATAAAGGCAGACTGATTGTCACTTTAAATCACGGCTGCAGTGTTGATGTGCCCTCGAGCTGAAATGGTAAGAACCATTTCCACCTCTGCGGCAGGGAGCCTGACCAAATCGGCGCACTAGAGCGCTTCAAACGTGATTCTCTTTCCCCTGGTCACTGGTGGTGTAAGCTCGCTGCACACCTGGAGAGGAGAGCAGCTTCCATAGTGCTTTTCTCTCAGCTGGAGCCACTTGTATGCCTGCGCATTTTGGGGACATTATTAATTTTGATTCCCTCTCTCTTGTTTTTGTTCCATCCGCAGAACTCAGTGGCAGTCGCCTCTATCCATTTACCGCTGGCTGGTCCGCCTATCTCCTCCTCTGCGTTGCAATCTGTTGATAACTCCACTTGCAGGCTGCAGTTTATCGTGTTTCGCAATGGGAAACTCTTCCCCTGCACCGGGAATTCTTCAAACCTCGCGGACGATGGCAAGCGTAGGAGCGTTTCGACACCAGTTGCTTTCACCAAATTAGGTAAGAGGAAATCCATTTTTATCGCTGTGCCTGTGATGTCAACGCTGTGCTGTGCTCGAGTGGAGTGTGCATGCAGACTAGAGCAGTGCTTTCTGCGCAACATGTTGCCTCTGCTATCCGACATGTGTAAAACAAATGAACGTAGAACGGTGCCACTGCGTAAAACTTTCCTGACATGACATTTAAGGCGAGTTTGTGTTTACGCACACGCTGTTTGTCCGTGTCCCTTCCTTCCCGCTTGTGACTGTGTCTGTGGCGGACTTTCCCCTCTCTCAGATGGCTGCAGCAGCCTCCGGAGCGCCGTGCACTCCTCCGTGACCATCGCTCTGAGGCACTTCGCGCTGGGTGTCGACCCCACCGCAGCCTACTGGGACTTTGACCTGCTGGATGGGCACGGCGGCTGGAGAGCAGAGGGCTGCCACATAACGGGCACCGGGGGCAATACGAGCACCATTCACTGCAGCCTGCACCACAACAACTTTGCTGTGCTAATGGTGAGTAGTATCCATCCATCCACCTCCCACCACCTCCTCCTCCTACATTACCACTGCTTAGGGCCTATTACGGATCAAATGCTTTTTCTTCTACTACATGGGAGTCACGTGTTGTACGAAGCCCTTCATAGGGGACGTTAAAAGCTTCCTTATTGTTGCTCTCCAGCGGAGGGGAAGGATTTGTCTAATGCGCAACGGGGATTTATTGGCTTTGGAGTAAATTCTATCCTGGAAATGAGAAGTTGCGTGGCTCTTGGTGTAGCCTGCTGCCACCCAAAAGCTGAGGGAGCGAGGGGACGCAGGCAGCGGCTGTGAGACAGCGGCGCTACACGAGCGGGGACGCTGCTCATGTGGATTTGGTTCCGAACGACGGAGAACGGAACACGCTGGGAGTCGTTTAACTTCGACGCCGCGGAGATGCTTCGTTTTTCTTGTTCTTCGTCACCTCTGCTCTGTTCCGTCTCCACGAGGATGATCACCAAAAGCGCAATGGCATCGCGTCGCCCTGTGTCTACTCCATAGAAAAAGCACGCTCCCCGCGTCTTTTTGGATGCAAAGAAAACCTCCGGATGTTTACCGAAGAGTGGGATGCGTTAGACTGGGAGGTCAGTTTTTGAGTTACCGCATGAACTAAGTCTTGTGTCATGAGTTGATCTGATTACACCTGAAGCTGCTGTGTCGTGTGTGTGTTGGGCAAAAAGCCGCATAGGAATGAGTAGAGGAACAGAGAGCGCCATCGGGGTGCACACGGGGCTGAGCGAGCGCCTGTGGAGAATACTAAACTGCTGTCAGATGGATAGCAGATGTCACGTTGTCATTGTGTTTCTGGGGAGCTTGTTGAAGGCGTGCGTGTGCGTGTCACTGTGCAGCAGCCCCATTTCAAGTCCCTGTGTTTTCTGAAACGTTGTTGAAAACCCCAAACGTCTCGTCTGTCCGTCTGCGTCGTTCCAGCGCTGTGTAATGTGTGCTGAATTGGATCGCTTGGTTTGCTTGCGCGTCTTGCTAATGCAGTCACCACACCCGCCTGGTCTGTCCGCAGTGCCCGACAAAAACGACCCTTATTTACGGGCTTGTGACATCACTCCCCCCCCGCTGACCTCATCCTAAACCCCTCGCGCTGCACTGACCCCCGCTTTATGGGGGTGCCTCATGCCCCTAGACCTGTTGCATAATGTGTTTTTGTTTTTTTTTGTTTTTTTTTCCTTCCATGTCAAACGATCTGGGCGTTTGATTGGCCACAGGTTGACTCTCCATTGAAGTCAGTCCTTGTAGATGCATTAAAAGTCCATGTTAACAAGTTGGAAAGTTACCACCAACTGCAATTAAATGGCTCCTAGCTGTGCCCCCCCTCTGCAGTCCCGATTTTCCCCCGAATCTATTTACTTATCCAACTTTAAAGGTCCTACATTACACAAAATCGACTCGTGTGAGCTTTTTAAAGGGACAGTCCGCGATTTTCGACACAGGACCTCGTTTCCTAAAGCGTTGGAGACGTGTGGAGACGCTTTTTTATTCCATCCAGTCCTTTTTTTCATTTGCAGAGGTCGCTGGTGCTAGGCTAGTGCATGTCAATGGCCATAGTTATCCTGCCACTAAAAACAATCTTACCCACTCCACAAAACACCCGAAGCAAATCTATTATTACGCCAGACTGTCCATGTAAATGTCTGTGTTGATAGAATCATTATAGAAGTAAAACCGACCTTGGATTTGAAGGATTTATGTCTGAGCAGCAGCAGCGAGTTGTACTTCCTGACAGAAAGCTCGTTAGTGGCGGACTGATATCACCTAGCACCTATTTTAAGTAAAATCCTGCTGCTGCTGAGAAAATAGTCCCTCAACATGCCACGATTCCCTTCGATTTCACTTCGTAGAAACCGTCTGACCTCACAGCGTTAGAATTCCGTTCGCTCGACTGTAGGCGGGTACTTTTTTTTTTTTTATTTAACCAATCGCTGCTGTTTGATCGCGACGTATGTAATGCGCCACTAACAGGGCTAACTGGGATATTAAGCTTTTCCCAAATCCCGTAGGAAGAAGGACAATAACGTCTTTCCCCTTGATAAAATTCACCAAACATTCTCTTTGTTCCGGCTTTAAATCTTCGATCTCGGGAATCGTTGACAACACAGAATATCTGGCTCTTTGCTGATTGGCTGGTGCCCGAACTCGCACTTTTGGGGTTTTTGCGAACCGTTTCGTGTATTCCAATTCCTGACCTAGTCGCTGGAAAGAAATGAAATTAAGCGAAGGCACTAGGCTACCGATTCAAGGTTTAGTTTTATTCTATTGGCACAGACATTTACATCGAGAGTCTGGCGTAATAATAGATTTGCTTCGGGTGTTTTGTGGAGTGGGTAAGACTGTTTTTAGTGGCAGGATAACTAGTCTAGCACCAGCGACCTCTGCAAATACAAGGACTGGATGGAAAATTTTAAAAAGTGTCTCTGGCTCACGAGGAAATGAAGTCGTACGTCCAAAATTCCGGACTGTCCCTTTAAGCCGTGTTAGGATGCTTTTACCTCCTCAAAAACATCTGTGGAGTCGTGTTTTGTTTCATTCACATGTCTGAGTAATCCTTTATTATTAATCTACATCTATGTCCACATCTCCAAACCTCAAAACGCTCTGTTCCCCCTTGTGATGTCACGAAGCGGTACAGTTTCCGAGGTGACATCTAAGTTTTTTACCTTTTGTTCAGCAGAGATCGGCAATTCCTGCATCTGAAATGATCCAAATGACTTTAATGAAGGTGTGTGGAGTTTAACAACACAATAGAGCACTTCCTTTCTGTATTGCCACATTATGACATCACAAGGTGGAACAGCGTGTTTTCTATTTGAGAGAAGAACTCAGCCTAAATCTGCAGGGTTTGTGCGTTAATTAAACACGTGTGAATGAAACAAAACGCAACTCCGGGTCTGTTTGTGATGAGGAAACATTATAACGCGCATGTAATGTAGATCAGAAAATAGCGTAATACGGATCTTTTAATTCACGCATTATCTGAAATTTGCGTTTTTATTCGTGAGAAACAACAGGATCTGAACAGGAGCCCATTCAGTCATCACCATTATCGTCATGCTTGTCTGTGCCGTGTCACTTTGTGTGTTGTTTTGTCGATAGCTTCAGTTTGATCTGTGCTTTGTGATGTTTTTGTGGATCTGCGATTTAACCTGCTGCTAAAATCTCTATAATGTTTTTGCTGGTGTTTATTGTAAAGAAAATAATTGTGTAGTGAGCGATAAGGAACCAGTGATTAAAGCTTGACTCTGCTTGACTTTACATAGATGTTATTGTGCTTTTGGGTGTTTTTTGTTCTATAATATGGTATTTAATTTAAGTATTTTCTCAAAGACAAGCTGCCACATCACCAGGTTGAGTTACAGGTCAGATCTGTGGAGAAGTTGCCCCGCTCACAATAACAATCTGTGCTTTTGTGGTAGTTCTGTGAAGCAAAAACGCCAAAAAAGTGAATAAATGTAAGTTATACTGTATTTGTTGTTGTATCAAATGCTATATAGTGTTCCCTTGTTTATCGCGGGGGTTATGTTCTAAAAAATAACCCGCGATAGGTGAAATCTGCGAAGAAGTCTATATTTAAGTTTATATTTTACAATTATTATATCAGTTTTAAAGCTGTAAAACCCCTCACCACACACTTTATACACTTTTCTCAGACAGGACAGTTGCAACACTTTTTGCATCCTTCTTAAAATGTATTGCTGCTGTCGTTCTTTTGTTATTTTCCTTCTTTTTGTAACGAACCGAAGATTAATTTATTTCGTAATGGAGCCCTACAGCGCAGAGTCCTGCACGGGTCCATTTTTGGAGACCCACACCCGCGTACAGGACCGCATCCGTTCGTTAAGCCGAGACTATATCAGATTTTTGCCCTGCCTACACCGCGAACTGAACCAGAACTGAACCAGGACTGAACCAGGACTCACTGTCGGGATGGGCTCGGGGGTGACCGCAGGAGAAAGGACGTTCGTGGCCGCGTGGACCGAGTCTCCTCACGTACGCTGCGTGGGCCACACCTCCCAGAACTAAAACCAGGTCTAAACCAAAACTAAAACCAGGTCTAAACCAGAACTAAAACCAGGTCTAAACCAGGAAGTAAAACCAGGTCTAACCAGAACTAAACCAGGTAAACTAAACCAGTAAAACCAGGTCTAAAACCAGTCTAAACCAGGAACTAAACCAGGACTAAAATCAGTATTAAAACCAGGTCTAAACCAGGTCTAAAAACAGGACTAAAACCAGGTCTAAACCAGGTCTAAAACCAGGTCTAAACCAGGACTAAACCAGGACAAAAATCAGTATAAAACCAGGTCTAAACCAGGACTAAAATCAGTATTAAAACCAGGTCTAAACCAGGTCTAAAAACAGGACTAAAACCAGGTCTAAACCAGGTCTAAAACCAGGTCTAAACCAGGACTAAACCAGGACAAAAATCTGTATTAAAACCAGGACTAAAACCAGGTCTAAAACCAGAACTAAAACCAGGTCTAAACCAGAACTAAAACCAGGTCTTAACCAGGAGTAAAACCAGGTCTAAACCAGAAGTAAAACCAGGTCTAAACCAGGAGTAAAACCAGGTCTAAACCAGGACTAAACCAGGTCTAAACCAGGACTAAACCAGGACTAAAATCAGTATTAAAACCAGGTCTAAAAACAGGACTAAAACCAGGTCTAAACCAGGTCTAAAACCAGGTCTAAAACCAGGTCTAAACCAGGACTAAACCAGGACAAAAATCAGTATTAAAACCAGGTCTAAACCAGGTCTAAAACCAGGACTAAAATCAGGTCTAAACCAGGTCGAACGAACTGAACTAAAACTGAACCAGGACTCACTGTCGGGACGGGCTCGGGGGTGACCGCGGGAGAAAGGACCGGTGTTCCAGCGCAGAGGTCCACCCGGCACAACCCGCCCACATACTCGCAAAATTGCACAAAAAAAAAAAAAAAAACAAGGTGAACCATAATATAGCGAGGGA